GATCATAGTGACATTGATAAAACGAAATACTGGAAACAAGCCAAATGTCCTTTGAGATGAAATGGATAGATAAATTGTGCTATAGTCATAAGATGGAACAGAGAAGTCAAAGTAAATAATAAGAGTTTATACATAGTGCTGCCTATGTGCCAAGTATTGTTCTTGGCTCTTTACATAAATTAATTCACTTTCATCCTCAGACTAACATTTCCTTTTTTATAAATGAGGAAACAGAGACACAAAAGGGGTCTCTTTGGGCAATGGGAACTTGCCCAATATTACAAATGCATAGCCAGGATTTGAACCACAAGTCTGAGTTGTGCTCATAATTCACTATTCTCCCTCTACAGCAAATAAAATATACATACAAGTAACATGATTTAAATTTAAGAAATAATATTGAATAAAAGAAAACAAAAAGCAATCCCAGAAGACTGCAACATACTCTTGTATGTGATTTTTACACAGCTTGAAAGTAGCAATGCAAAATAGTATACTGCATAAGAAAACATACCTAGGCAATATATACTGTATATGGAAATACATGATAAAATATTTTTAAAAAATGAAAATGAAGGAAGGATAAACATAAAATCCAGGGCAGTCATTACTTCTGGGCAGCAGGAGGCATGTACAGGGAAACAGGGAGAAGAAGAAGGTAGCTGCTCCTGCAATGGGATTGGTGATATTCTCATTCTTGAGTTGGATGATGGGTTCACAGGTCTTAGTTTTATTATTATAGTTTGTAACATATTTATGTTATTTATATCCTCTTTTGTACCAAATGTTACATTTTAAAAGATATTAAAGCTAAGAAATAAATAGAAAGTGAGAAGGTAAAGAAAATAAGCTTTGGCTACATTTTCAAGATGCATGATGGGAAGAAAGGAAAGAGGGATGTGGTATCACCAGATAGATCCATGGTTAAGTGTGTATGTATATGTCTTTAATGAGAGAGTCTGAATCCTGCTTATAGATACGTAAAGCTAGACGTGATATGACTTAGTAATTTTGTCTCCCAGAGGATATCTGGCAATTTCTGGAGAATTTTTTTGATTGTCATGGCTACAGGGAGGGTGCTGGCATCTAGTAGGTAGAAGCCAGGGATGCAATATCTTACAGTGCACATGTCACCTCTATCCTCAACTACGAATTATCCAAAATGTCAGTAGTACTGAGATTGAGAAGCCCAAGTATAGAGAAAGCAAAGCAGGAGAGATTTAAAAATACAATAGCAGGCAAAATAATCAAGAGAGCAAGGTCCTGACAAGACAGGAGGAGAGCTTGGCCCAAAAGCAGACACATTACATCTCCAGAGCCTGCAGAACAGTGAAGAACCAACCCTTTTCTTAAGCCCACTCTCTTAAACAGAAATACTATGAAGTAGACCTCACTCCCTTTCTGCTTTTACTAAAAACACACATATAGAGGGCCTACTGAGAGTTTTATTGCAAATCATTCCAGAGAAACAGGCAGGATAAGTACAAAATAAGAAACGTGGATGAGATGACGCTACCTCAGAGCTAATAAAGCATTTGTCTCAGTACTTCTCCCTGGCACTTGGCCCCAGGTTGGGCCTGAAAGTTGTCTTTGCAATTTTGAAATACAGAAGTTTGAATTAATTTTATTCCTTGAAAAGGTCCCCCAAATTGTATAAGCCTTGAAAAATGAGGATTTACTCTTGAGTGCAAGAAAGTTATTTAATTTAAAATTTTTATAGCTGCTTTCTCTGACCTCCTGGCTTGATGGCACCCTGAAGCTCAATGCTACATACTACTCTATTTAGTTCACACTCCAGGTCCTCTACTCTTATATAGTCTTCACAGATCATTTCCCCCATAAAAGCCTGTCTTTTTAGCATGAAAGGCCTGAGGGTACAATTAGGGCAAAACAATAAATGAGAATAAGTAGGCAATTCAATCTCCCCTACTCTGAGAAGGAATCACATTAGCGTAAGGAGATGTTACCTCTTGGTCTTATGATCCACATAGAAAACAACAGCTCAGGAAAATTGTTATGAAATTTTGTGCATATAAGAGTCACCTAGGAAATTTGTTATAAACGTGGGTTCCAGGAGCCCACTCTCTGAGAGGGATATAATATCCTGGTCCAAGGATGATAATTTAATCACCACTTCCTTAATGCAAAGGTTCTTAATCTTCAGGGTGCCAGGTCTTTTGAAGGATCTTTTAATATTCACATACTATCCATTTTAATGTGAGGATCCTTACTTAGGATACCTAGCTTAGATATTCCTTCACAGAAAATCAGAGTATGTAGATGGTATCAGTGAGGGAAAGAAAAAGAGGGCTAGTTAGGATTGAAGCAGATAAGAGATCAACCAAGAGATGAAAGAAAAACTCATTGAACTTGACTGGCAAGTTCATATATGTATTATGTTAATCTCTCTCCATATATATGGAGAGAAAGAGAAGTCAAAAGTACTATAGAGCAAATAAAGATATTAGAACGAAAGGAAAGACTTAGGGTGAAATGCAATATTTGCTTGTACTCCATCCTCTAACTACTAAAATGATAGTAAAAAGATTAAAAAGGCATAATCCGAAAAGGACAAATAAAATTGGAGTATAGATGCCAAAGAAATATCAGCAACATTTTAGAAGCTCTAAAACATATGGGCAAGTGTTGACTGCCTTTGCATACTAGGAAAAGCGGAAATCTAACTGCCTGCAAGGTGAGAAGAGCCAAGAAGCAAGCTGATTCATAGAAAAGAACTTCAGAAATTCTCAGAAATTAGAAGACTAGACAGTGGGAAGGAGTGGGGGGTATGGATGAAATTGGGAGAAACTATTCAAAGTATTTATAATAAGCAGTAAGGCCAGACAATAAAGGGGAAACAAATCTGACTTATATGAGTCCCAGAAAGAAAGTAAAGAGGAGAATGGAGGGAAGAAAAAATATCACATAAATAATGAGCATTTTCCAGAGCTGAAGGCTATGGCGTCCCTAGTAGAAAGGCCCATTGTGTCTCAGCGCAACAGATGTAAAAAGATTGACTCGAGGGGAAACATGAGAAGGTTTTAAAACACATAGATTAAAGAGGGGATTCTAAGTACATGGGCTCAGGAGTTGGGTGGTAGGAAACAAGTTACATCCAAAACTTTGAAATTAGAATAGAATCAGATTTCTCAGCAGCTATACTCAAAGTTTGAAAACAATGAGCGCCAGCTTCAAATTCTACCTAAAATTTTGTATATACCTGTCAATCATGTGTGAAGTTTTGAATGGTAAAATTTTCAAATACAGAAGACTCAAAATTTGACTTTGGATCCTTTTTCAAAAAGCTAGGAGAGGATATGCTTCAGCAACATGTCAGACTAAACCCAAATAGGTGGGGAACCTGAGAAGCTAACATTCTACACAGGTGGGAGACCAAAAGAATACTCCAGAATGGTGGTGAAGCTAAGCTCCAGCAGGACAATAGGACCATGAAGGATATCTTTAATATAAAAACCAAATGCAGGTCTTTGGGAGCCTGAGGCACAGGACCAATTGAGACCAAGTAGTTTGAGACCAGCCTGGGCAACATAGTGAGATCCTGTCTCTACAAAAAAAAAAAATGAAATAAATAAATAAAAATAAAAACAATGTTAACTGATGAACACTGATAAGTTTTACTGTATTAAGAGGAGTATAAAATCTCCTGTGAAGGGGTTGGTGAAAAATTAGTGAAACTTATATAAGATTCTAAGCAAATTGGAAAATGGAATAATTTTTAACTCTAGGAAAAACTAGAAAATTGAAGAGAGAGATAAAAAACTTATTCTATGTGGCTTAATAGTAAATACTACTTCTCTAATTATAATAACGTAAAGACATAATTATTTAACCAAAAATTGTGGCTTAATTATATTGGGACAATGGAGAATAGGTGAGTGGAGGGTTGTTGGTGAGGTGTGGTGCACAGATATTTCAGGCATGGTACTGCAAGCATAGAAAGCTAAAATCCTCATCTTCCCTAAAGTTAACAGATATTGCTTAGAACCAAAGATATCTATAAAGAACAGCACACAAATGTTGTTTTGAAATGTAGAGGTAAGAACCAGAAGAAACAGTGAAGTTTAAAATGATTTCTCCTAGGAATAGTGAATTGGCCAACCAAGGAATGATGCTTTTCATCATAATTTTTAAAAAATGACTTCAAGATGGAATTGGTGTTCCTAACACAAAGAAATGTTAAATGTCTGAGATG